AGGCAGGCCATTGTTAAAACCAACATCTGTGATTATTATTTTTTTCTAGCTTATGAAGTGTCTTAATATTTTAAGAATGTTTGCTTTAATTTTTGTCAACTTGTGTTTATTCTACAAAATTGAGTTATACTACCAGACTTTGGTGTTCATGTCCGCACTGTTTATCTTAGAAAACCAAAATGAATAATTGTGTCATCTTTGTATTAGACTAGCAAAATTAGATGCACTCCTTTCAAACTATTTTGATGCAACAGATAGGGTTAAGGCTGTGGAGCCATTTTAAGTTGTACTTTAAGAACAGCAAAGGCAAAATAGCTTATTTTTTATTAGGAATTGATATTTAACAATTAATCTTTTATAATAGTTTTCCCCAGTAAGCCAAGGTAATTGTAGCATCTGCATATCTTGCCACACAATGAAGCAACGTAATGGTATGATTGAATCAGTGCTGCATCATTTAACATGCCAATCAGCAACTCATAATGTGGGGAAATATATCTGCATGTTATACAAATTGGTGGTAGCCCTATCAAATCTTTACTTTACGATACAAACAGCTTAATATGATGATGCTAGTGGGTTTTTATGTGGCCTTGTTTCTTCTTATCCAATTAAAAATAAAGGGAAATCCAGAATACAACATGATAGGGCTAAAACTGTAGCTGTTTGTTCTTCTTTGCATTCCCTGTAGAGTAATTAGACCTCCATGCATCCTTAATCCAGAATATTCCATGGCAGGGAAACTTTAAGCTTTTTAAAACTATGTAAGACTCATTTTTGCTGTGGAAGGTTTAGCTTTCAATATCAGCAGATGAATGAGTCACCTTTGGCTCAGTCTGAGGAACAGACATGTTTCAGTAATAAAGCTCCTAGAAGCTTTTAACAGCTTGTATCTTTCCCTTAATTTCATTTATACACAGCTCACTGATAATGAGAATAGCTGTGTTCTAGTGTTCTTCGCTTGGTAACAACAAAACCTTTTGGCAGAGACTCCTGTTAGAGCTTAGCTGTGGTGCATTCACAAACTAGGGGATTCATCGAGGCATAAAATCCTTCAACATCAGTTACAAGCCGGTTTCTCTGTGCATGCTTATTTCTGTTGGTTTTTTTTTTTTCATCTATTTTTAATGATGTATCTTTTCTTCTGTTTGTTTGAGGTTTCAATAATATGTGCTTGTTAGTTTTTTTTTTCCATACAGTTATTCTTGATTAATAAGCAGTGAAATTTCACACACGTCCGCAGTTTCTTTCAGCTTCATAAAAGTGTCTGCTGTTATTGTGCAATTCCTTGTTTTATTTTAGAAATGAAAACACTTTAATGAATCACAGTCTTTCTTTTTTTTTGTAGGTTTTCATATTTTTTTGTTATAACTCACATAACCAAAACCCTGTGGTGCACAGCTCAAATTTAAGACGTTAAGTATTGTTTTCATTTGTTTTTATCATTAAAAGGAAAACAGATTTCTATTTTATCTGCAAAAACCCAGTGAAGCTGCGTTACAGAAGATTATGCCGTATCTAATTACAAGGATGTGGATGATTTGTTCTTGAGATGAATGTTGCAGCTGATGTTATTAAATCTGAGCACAATGACTGGTAAATCAAACAAATCACCTGTTAAACATTCCCTGTTGATTAATCCAAGTAATGCTGTTGAAATAGCGATATCTTTGTAAACCAGAAGCAGTGCTTGTATTCACGATGGCAACAACAAAGAGAGAAAAATGTGTTGTGTGTGCCAATTAATTATTTCCTAAAACTCAGCAACAATAAACTGCAAGACTGGGGTTCAGTCACTTAATTTAGCTGCAGGTCAAAATAATTCGTCGTAACATGTTTTATTTAAAATGCAGTGTAACACAATAAAAATGTGCCAGCTGCATGCATTGCTTCCATGCCAAAAGGAGAGCTGGCTTTTCATTTGTTAATGAACAGAGACATAAATAGTTTAAATAATCAAAGATTTCTCCTTTGAATTGAACTTTTGAGTCTCTGTGAATCTGAAATATGACAAAGTTCATTATTTCGCTTTGAAAACACCTGGGGGAAAATCCTTTTTGTGTTATTCATACATAAATGTATCAGATATGCTCCAAATATAGCACTGCTCACTTTTTGCTGATCATAAGGAATAATTAGAAAGAATTCATTGAAGGTGCTTAGTATTTAGCTTTAAATATAAAAAAAAATAAATCAGGAAAACAGAGTACAGAATTATTTAATGTAGCATAAACCTAAAAACAATATTCTCTTATAACATTTTTATTATTTTTCTGTCGCTGGGGTTGTGATGGACCAACTTCCCACCACTCTGGGAATATTGACATTTAAACGCAGAATAATCTGCAGTCTTTGGCAAACGGCAAATTTGCATTCCTTTTTAGGAAATAGTACCCTTCTGTAAAGGTTCAGTGACAGTCCAGAAGAGAAGTGGACATAAATAGTCATGATAAGACACTATTTGTATGTAAATGAAGAAGGCACAGAATTTTGAAGTAGTTTCCAAGCAGCAGAAGCAGGAAAAGGGGGTGGTTCATAGAAACATAGCTGAGTGTTACATTTCAAGAAATCCAGATAAATAGGAAGTAAGACTCAAATCTTTAAATATAAATGCATCAGTATAAACATTTTTGCAAAAATGAATGTCTGGACTGAGCCTGAATATTACCTAAATAAGTAAATAAATTGTTAAACACAAAAAGAATTGTAAAACTGAAAAAATCAAACAAAAGATGAGTTCAAACATTAAGTTGTTCAACCATCAGTGCTTTTTTTCTTTATTTCTGGACAGAATCAATAGTATTTTTTAAAATTTCTGTTATATGAAAAAGAGTTTATCTCTTTAAAAGATGTTTTATTGTTTTACCAACAATTATTATCCAAAATATTTCAGCTAAATACCATAAAAAAACAGATATATTGTAGTGTATTACCCTAAAGTAATAAAAGTCATTAAAAGTGTAACCAACAATAGTTAATCTGACCCATTTATTTAGAAATTCGATCATACTGCTGGTTTCTTATTCTGCAGATTTTTTTTTTCTCTTTGCTGCTGCTCATCTGCCTGAGATGCAGATTGAAGCTGATCTAAAAGATCTAAAACTATAAAGCTTGAAAAAGTCAACAAGCTTGTTTCAGCTGCAAACACATTAAACATTTAACAGATGAATTTCTGATGCCATTAAATATTTTGATGGAATCACAGAGTCACTTTTATTTCTTTGAAATCCTTTCTTTTTTTGCATCAGTGATTTATGCCCTGATTTGTTTACTGGCCCCCTCCGACCCCGGCCCTTCTCTCTTTAGGGCGATCCTAACTGAGCTTGCATCACTGTGTTTATAATTTGCAACAACAATCCCTCAGAGCGCCTTCAATTAAACCGATTTAATGAGCCGTTTTAAAGATTAATTTCCCATTGACGGGTAAATAAAGTAAGAAAAGGGCTCTTGAATATTCAGAAATCCAAAATATAACAAGCCTTGTTTTAAAATGATTCTTCAAGGAAAATCCCTAAACTATTTTCGTATGATAAGTTTGCAGAGGAAAAGTAGCCATTATTGTCTCTAGGAAAACTTGAATGGGCTGCAACTTCTTCCTCGTTTGACCTGAAGTAAACATTAAAGATGCTCATCTGCATTTTTTTTTTATGTTACCTATAAAGCCAGAAAAACATTTTTTAACAAAGGGTTTTCACCACACTGTCTATTTAGCTACGTGTCTGATTGAACACAGACACATTATTAAACTGATCATTCATCAAAGATTTGTTTATGATTTGGATCATGGAATGCCTCTGTACACCTTCTCTATAAAATGTGATTTGTAATCGATTTTCTTATGGTTGCTCTATGTTATTATAAATTCTATATATTTTTTTGTTCTTCCCGTTTTCATATCTCCTATCTCCTTGAAGTTAATGGACTTTACATCACATTGATTTGTACTAAAGGGTTAGATATCCTCAAGCGTCTGGCTAATGGGCCTTTCTAGATATCCTGATTGGGAGAGTAAATGGAATACTTGAGCGCAAAGAGGTGTCAAGGTTAGTCTTTAATTTTGATTTGGTTCTATGTTTTTCCTCTATTTATTTGTGCGTAGAGGGGATTTGAATCACCAACATTTTCCTCCCAAGCAGAAACATTTAATGTTCACATATAGGGGGTAAACTGATCTGAAAACTGATGTTTCTCTGTCTCATTAAATGCCTTCCGAGAAATATTTCTCTCCAAGAGGTAAGACTTTAACTGGACTAAACCTGAACTTCCTTCTGTTTTGCTGTTCCTGAGTGCATTTTGAGTCATTTCTGCATGATTGCTTTTACTATTTGCTTTTTTTTTTTTTTTTCCACTGCAGTAGTCGTACATTTTGCTTTATTATCCATCCTTTGATCATTTGACATAGTGGTACTATAGGCTTTTATCATTTTAAATCCCTTGTGTTGTGTGCATTTTGTAAATCACACTCCAATCTTGCTTTGATGGCGCAATGATGGTATTATTTTTTAAGCAGAGCTGCAAAAACATACGATTTAAGTTTTTTCTTCAGCTTTAACAATAAAAGAGGGTTTGAAAACTGAAAAAATAGCAAATAGGATATCAGTGTTTTCTGGTCTTTTAAATAGGCCATCCATTTGGATTTCCAGATCGTTTTCTGTTTCTTGTTGACTGAGTGCATCAATCCATGCATTTATCCATTCAGTCGTGTTTTTTTTTTTTTTTTTTTGTAGATATTGCATTTAAAACTATAGGAACACTAGAATAAAATTAAGAATATGTATATTCAATGAATATATTAATATATTCCATGAATATATACAGTATTCTTATAGTGTGTTGGAATGTGAATACCCCATCAGTTAAAATTTCAGCTCTATCATAAAATCCTTGAAATATTTGCAGCTTTGTTATTTTTGTTTTTTTATAGAGCACTTTTCCATATTTTTCAGAATTAGTTTTTGTGTTTCTATAATCCTCTGTCTCTTTTCTTTGTTTTTGCACAGTTGATCAGAGTTTGTTTGAGAACTCCAATGCCCATAAGCAGAGCCCTCAGACCTCCAGGACAGGTCAACCCTCCAACCGACGCTCCTCTGCATCAGCTAATTCCAATTCTGGCTCCACCTTGGTTGACACTCCATCCTCTGGTGGACAGCAAAGGCTGAAAAATGCTATTAACTTGGGCAAGGCAGTTGGTGCAAAGGTCAGTGCATCATAAGCTGATTTGTAGCAATGCCCTGCAGGTTCTCAAACATACCCAGTTAACTTATTCGTGCCACATATGTGAATTTATTGTTTCCTTAAGGTCAATGACCTGCTGAGGAGAAAGGAGCCCAGCCACCTCGGGGACATCGGGGTCACTGAGGTCAATAAGAATGTCGGTGCTGTTTGGAGCTGCATGGACCAACTTGGTCACAATTCCACCAGCAGGTGTGAAAATATGCCTTCACAAATTTATATTCATCACCTGAATATTCTCAACTTTAATATTTTCAGTCACTTGCATCCCAGTTTACAGTTTGGATATAATTTTAAAATAGAGAATTTTTTTATCTGAATGTATGTCTGGCATTTCATTCAGATCTACCATGTGACATCCCTCTGAACTTCCTTCTTAATAATAATTAAAATAATAAAATGAAATATTACTTTATTATTTTGATTAATATTATTAAGGAAAACCAGCTGAGTGCATCCATTAATTGATTTGCAGGACACGCTTCTTCTGGATGAGTTTGTGCGACAATGTTAACTGGTATTTTATCGCAAAGTTGGTTAAAGCTAGTATGTGCAAAATCCCTCCTTGGCAGGTACCAACTGATGCACAGTCAGGAAAAAAAAATTTCATCACACATCTACAGTTTCTTTCAGCTTCATAAAAGTGTCTGCTGTTATTGTGCAATTCCTTGTTTTTTTTAGAAATGAAAAGACTTTAATGAATCACAGGCTTTCTTTTTTTTTTTTTTTTGTAGGTTTTCATATTTTTTTGTTGTCTTACATAACCAAAACCCTTAATTTAAGGACCAGAGTGGTCCACAGCTCAAATTTAAGACTTTAAAAATTATTTTTATTTAGTTTTTGTCATTAAAAGGAAAACAAATTTCTATTTTATCTACAAAAATCCAGTGAAGCTGCGCTACAAAAGATTACGCCGTATCTAATTACAAGGATATGGATAAGTTTGTGGGACAATCTTAACTGGTATTTTATCAAAAAGACTTTGCAAAGTTGGTTTAAGCTAGTATGTGCAAAATCCCTCCTTGGCAGGTAGCAACTGATGCACAGTCAGGAAAAAAAAAAAATCTTTTTAGATATGATTTTTTTGGAAACTGGATACCAAATGATGATATGCATCTATCATCCGCTTCACTTATATAAGAATGAATCAGCCCCACCTCTCAACAGAAAATGTATCTTTACTTTTAGCTTTTAAGAAACAAAACACTTGGAACTAAGTCTTAACTTTAAGAAAATCTTTCCAAAAATCCGCTTTTTAAAATGAGATTTCTTTCTATTATTTCTGCTCAACTCGTTCAAAAGTCCAGTGCCCAAAGCTCAGATCAGTTTGTTTTTGACTTTTCTTCAAAATATACGGTAACTGAATTATGAAATAAGTAACATCTTCTTCCCTCTTGAAAGCATAGAGTGGATAATTCTGGGCATTTTTCAACAGAACACTTTGTAGCTGAAGTCTGGAGACAGCAGAGAAGAACCAGACACACAGCCTACTGTAGGAAGAAACCTCTAGCAGAACCAAATCCAGGCTCAGGATGAGCAGCCATGCTCTGCGGCCAACCGGGGGCTGAGAGGACAGGAATGAATCATAGGGGAAATGTAGAACAGAGAGAAGGGAGGGATTTCTATGGAGAAGAAAGACAGAGAGAGTGAAATGATTAATGCTACAAAAACTGTTTTAAAAAAGCTTATAAATTGGCAGAGTGATGAGAGAAAGCTTTTTGCTGTGTAACTATTAATTGACTTGGCATTGTTAAGATTTGACTTACCATTCTATGGGATTCTTCATTTCATGGTCAAAGGAAAATAATGACTTAATGTTTTATTTTTCTGCATTAGCACTTTTCTGAATATTCTTACCTTTATGAATAGATGCACAAAAAAAGTTTATTTCTAATGTGACTTTTTTGTGTTACCTTAAGGTATTTTGGACCAGTTGTTGTTAAATTGTCAGCTAGGGGTGAAAGTGGACTGTAAATTTTGTTGTGAAATCCTTCATATTCCAATATCCCATCATATCCAGACAGAAGGTGCATTAAAGGGTGAGTCATAGAGCAGGATATAGGTCTTCAGCTTGAAATCTGTAATGATTATACTTTGGATAAAGGGAAAACAGGCCTAAAACAGGCCAAAATTTCAACTCGCCTTTAACAATTTACACTTTCAAAATAGAGTAATTTCACCCTGAGATCAGCACCCCTTCCTCTATCTCTCAGTTCTATTCTTTCAGTCTAATATCATTCTCCCCCTCCTCTATTTTTAGTCACATCTTTGACTCCTTTCCCCGACTCGACCCACCACCACCGACTGGAAAGAAACGTATCCCTCGAGCTTTGAAGACGACGCGGGACATGATGATCTCCTCTGACCCCGTGGTCTCCTCGCCTGAGCAGGCAGACTCTCCAAGCCTCCTCCCCTCTCCTGACAAGACCACCCTGGGCCCTGACAAGGAAATGAGGAGCGAGGAAGAGCAGCAAGAAGACAAGGAGGAGCAGGAGGAGAGGTCGACAGAAATGACACCCACACCCAATCCAGCAGAGATCAAAGCTAATTCAGAGAGCAAGGAGACAAAATCCACAGCGGATGCAGTCACAGTAGGGGAGGATGAAAAGGGGAGCCCGGAAGGAGGTGAGGAGGATCATCAGCTTCAGCTCTCTGTGCCAGACCTCATCAACAAGGAGACCCAAGCCAAACCCTGCGACGTCTGGCAGAGGGCGTCTTCACCAGACTCCCGGCTCGCCTCCTCTCCCATCTCTGGCAAGGCGCCGTGCCGCATCAGCCTCGGAGAGGAGGTCCTGCTAGGGAATGGCGCCCCCTGCAGCAAAGACACAGGAGGAAGCGCTGAGGACACAGAGCCTCACCCAGACCTACTGTCCTTCGAGTAATACAAAGCTCTTTGGATCAAGTATCCTCTGATCAGCCAACCGGCTTTACTTCAGTGAAAAGGGAACAGATTCATAAAGGGAGCAAAGCAGACTGCAGACTAAGCTTTCTACTAGACTTATGGACCATATTGTCACTGTTTGAAGTCTTTTTGACATCAAAAGAGATAAATACAATGCTTATAACAGGAGAACGACAGCTGCTTCACCATTATCACTGGCACATGATGCAAAATGAGAGAAAAAAACAAGAGCTTTTGTTTTATTGTGGTTTAAGTTATAACAAATTAATCAAACTGTTTTTTAAAAAGCTCTACCTTTGGCTTTTAAAGCTTCCTATCTGCTTTAATAATGTAACGACAACCAGATTATGTATAAATGAATGTATTTACTGCAGCGACATTGCCTTTAAATGGGTTAAAGATTTATAGATTTAAACAGAACCTTAAAACCCTTAAAATGACCACGGTAAATTTCATACCGATAAACAGCTGATATATTTAATGTTTTTTTTAATGTATGTTATGAAGCTGCTGCTTTGAAGCCAGTTATAGACTTAAAAAATAACATATGTTCAATAGAAATATATATTTTAATTTTTTTTATTTTAGGTTAGTTGGGGAAGAGTTTAATCTTAGTGTATTTGTGGAAAATCGTCCCTAAGAAACCAAACAGTAAGTGAGAAAAGAAGGCAGAACAAAAGTATTCAATAACAGCAGGACTGCAACATGTTTTCACTGAAAGATGATAATTTCTGAATCAAGTTATTTATCTCCACTTCAGAATAATTAATAATGTTTCATAAAGAGACATTTCTCTTTCAGGTATGAGCAGAATTTTGCTTTTTGGATGAGAAATATTCAGAAATAACTTTCTAAATATATTTTCTAAATCAGATAAAAATATTTTTACCTCTTATTGCAAAAGTGTGAAAAGGAACAAACATATTTAAACAATGAACAGGATGTAAAGACAGGTTCTTTTATATGGAATTAATTGGAGCTCATTAACATTGCTTTTACCTATAAATCTACTGCTTTTTACTCTTGTTTACTTGTAATATTTCAATGCATTCGGACATGAAAGGATAAAAGACATTTTCCTGTTCCCACCTGGAATTTGCTTGTCTTCATGTTCCCCTCCAAAACACTACAGAAAGTGGGAATAGAAAGACGTCTGCATGGAGGGTTTTTAGTAAAGTGACAAGGGGGGTTTCTGAGTTAAAGAGAGGCCAAGGTAATGAGCTGTCAACAGGAATAGATGAAAGAGGAGCATTTTTATTCGAGCGGATCCTAAAGTGACAGACCAAAGATGGAAATTAACAACTCCATCAGATGGATGGTTTAATCAGTTGTTTTTTTTTTGTTTTTGTTTTTTTTTTTATCTGTCAGAGGAGGAAAGAGAAGCAACACTGTGGAAAACACATGCAAAGTTGTTTTTTTTTTTATTTAAAAAAATGGAAAACCAAAGCTGAAGCGTTTCAGACATTCAATGCAGACAATGTCATCCATGTTTTTCCTCTTTAGACAGATGCTGACTCAGGTGCATTCAGCCTGTTTTATTGTAAACTGACATTGAAAGAGAAATTATTAAGCCTTAAATCAAACCTTTGTGTCAAAGTAGGAAGATTAGTCTCTGGTTGCCATGGTTACCTTAACACAAATCAAACACTAAGAAGTAGAAACCTGTAATTTTCTAACCCTGTAACCTGAAAGCAATTTGCAGATTTATGCTTCTCTGTTTTGAAGGCGTGGAAGTTTAAACATCCAAGATGGCTTTCAGCCAACAATTAAAAGCGAATGTCATGAATTTCCCAGATGCTGTGACCAAAGGCAGCACCAGCTGAGAATGAGAGGAATGTGGAGCTGTTCTTTATGAGGGAAAAAATAAGTTGCTTTGTCTCTTTTTTTTTTTTTTTTTTTTTTCTGAATGTCGCTGAGGCACTGAGCTGTTACCAAGCAGCTGAGGCCTCCTCTGGATCTCAATCATGGCTAGCTTTTTCAGGGAAATCACTCAGAAAGGTGCACAGAGCCACAGATGTAGACAGAGCTCCAAAAAACAAAGAGAAGCCAATGACTTTGTGTACAATATGGAAAAAAAAAAAAATCGCTGCTTGACATCGGTGATCGCTGCTTGCAGGGAGACATGGGAGACAAGTCTTAACCTTAGGCGCTTTTTATTTTGGAACAAACTAACATTTTCTTGTAATATTTTAAGGTGACCTTTAACTGTATTTTGGAAAGGATTTGGTTCTTTAAGAAAGTATTTGAATTGTTGCTGCTTTTTCACTCCATTTTAGCCTCTTACACCTGACTAATGAATTATTAAAGTATCAAAAATACTCTAAAAATTAAGAGATAATCCAGTATTGTGTTGGCAGCCTTACCAAAATCAGGCCCATCAAAAAAATAAACAATAGTTCCCATATTTTTAACTGGATTTAAGTGTTTTTCTGTATGTTTTTCCAGCCCTTTCATAATATCTTGAACTTCTCTCTCTAGTTTTTGTCATATTATACATGATGCTAACCACACAGATGTCTTTGATGAAAGATGGTTCTGGTTTCTATTGAGTTTATTGCTCACTGGATCTTTTCTCGCTAACATCCAATCAGTATCTCCACCTCACAGTTAATACGTCCATTTAGTCATGTGTAAAACCTCATAGTTAACCAATAAAGCGTTTATATATATTTTAAATCACAAGCTCAATCCTTAAGTAGGGGAAGGGTTCAAATTCCTGCAGGATTTCTGTTAAAACTGAGTTGCTCTTCTGTTTTTTTTCCTTTCCTACCGCTTCATGACGCTTAAGGATAATCTTTAGAATTTAAGGATAGTGTTATGATGTTGTTTTTATCCATTTCTAAACCAGCAGACAGCACAGTGTTAAAACAAATCTGAATTACTTCTTTAAAAAATACATATTTCAGCTTTTGAGCAACTAACTGAAACTCAGACAACTCATTAAATTTCAAATTTTGCTAAGATCTCAGATTTTAGTTAGCATTTTACGGCTATCTTACAGTTATGTTGCTTTTAATGCTTAAAACACACCTTATGAACTAAATCTTTATCTAATTAATCAAATCACATTAAATGCCACATGTTCAATTCCTCAAATGTTATAAAAGTTGAATTTAGAGCAGCTTGGAGGTTAAAAAAACAAAACCTTCTAACTGCATTTTAAATATTTCCACTGATGTAATGTGATTTTCTTCTGGTACTGTAGAAGCAGTGGAGACATAAGAAGGTACCTAGAGGTGCCAAAAAAAAACTAATCTGGTGTTTAGAAAGGTTCCCAGGGTGGAAACAAAAGAAATATTGTTCACTTTTCTTTCCCCTTTGTTTTTTAATCTTTTTTTGTTTTGTTTAGCTGTGCACTGCATAAGAAACTGCCACAGACTCGGGGGGAAAAAAAACATTAAACATGAGTTTCCAATGAAAAAGTAGCAGAAAATCTTGAGAAAAGGGCACCTAAAAAGTTACAAGAAACTTTAGGAGCACGGTGATGGAAATTGAGGGAAGGTCATTTAGTTTTAAAAAGAACAGCAGCTGGAGACTGGGTATAATGAGCATGTGTGCGGTGATGAGAAGATCCATAAAACATGAGAAGCAGAACTGCTTGTGGATCATCTGAGTAGAAATTAGAGCTCTAAAACTGATTTTACTGAGCGCTTATCAAAAAAATACATGTGTGTTTGCTGATGTTATAATTGAAACGCTTTTTAAAATTCATAGCTTAATATTAATTTGAGTTAAAAAAAAAAGAATTAAATTTATCATGATTTTGCATGATTGTTGTTAGGCTAGATGCTTTTAGTGAAATTACCAAAATGATTGTTTATTCTCTGTGTTTTAGTTAGTTTTTATGCCCTCTAATTTATATTAACAGACTGTCAACTAAACAGAAGGGCAAAATGACACCATATGGCTGCTTATATTACCTGAACTGTTTTTTTTTTCTTCATCGTAATAGTTTTTTCTTCAAATGTCTAAAATAAACCACTAACTTAATCATTTTGTTGAAGGAACAAATTTACTGGAAGGTTTTTTTTTCCCTAACAACAAATGAAGGACTCATAGAAGGTAGATTTTTATTTAGTTATTTACTTTATTTTATTTTTATACTAATATTTTAGGTGTCTGTTTGTACTGTAAAGTTAATTGACATAATTTCAATTTTTAATTGCTGAATGAAGGAAGCTTGATGCAACAAGTGGACACTTTTTAATATCAAGAAACTGTTGAATGTCTAAAGCAAGCTTCTGGGTTGTTGGTTTTTTCTTCCGACTGTTGCCAATCAAGTACATTTGATTTATGAAACAAAAAATGAAAGTGAATGATTTCAACTTTGTATTTTCCTAATATATGCATTTAAAAAAAGACAAATTATTTCCTACAGTTACTGTAATCTTATAAATTCTGATTTCATCTTTGGCTTCTTGTCTGTCTGCTTCATTTTTAATTACAACTTAGCTTTTTAAATGAAGAAACACCTTTATTTCTCTAAGGTAGGACAGTAAAGGTATTTCAATGTGTCTGCTTCATACCTAAATCATATGGTTTAATCAGCTCCTTGGTATGCAGTCAGGTTACCCACAATCCTGCTAATTACCTGATTATTTAATTCAGGCATGTTGAAGCAGAGATACAGTTTTACAGGTGCAGAATATCAGACCTCCAGCAGCATAAATCTAGTCTAAACATCTATGAGACCTGTTGATAGAATCCAAAACATGAACAGTTATCCAAATGAAAGGTTTTTACCAACATAATTCATGCATTCATTAGAAAACTAAAGATGTAGATCATCTTTTTTTAATTGAATCACCACACTAAGATCGAGATTTCCGATTCGCCTGCTCAGAGTCCGGATACGAATTTAACAGAAAATCTGTGAGGGCACCTCAAGAGTTCTAATGAACATAAGAGGCCATCATATTCTTATTTTATTTATTTTATTTATCCTTTATTTAACCAGGTAATACCCATTGAGATTAAAAATCTCTTTTGCAAGGGAGACCTGGCCAAGATAGGCATCAAAATTACAAATTGGATTCTGAGAGGTTTGAAGATATTTTGCAAGATACTATGGGCCGGATTTATCAAGATCCAATTTTGCGTGCAGTAATTTGCGCTCGCAAACTGGAATTTTGCGCGAGGGGCTGAACCATGGTTTGCGGGTGATTTAACAAGAGCGATTGCGTAACTGGTGGCAGGTGCAAAACTGTTGGAGACGCCCTATTTAAATGATGGTTTTGCATTTTGTGGTTTGCGGCAAAGTAGTTTGTAGTTTGTGCAAACTAGAGCATTAAGAAATTTAAATCTTACAGTGACACCCCCACCCCCTCCAAAAAATATATAAAATAAAAATACACACACACACACACACACACATATATATATATATATATATATATATATATATATATA